CTCTCGATCAAATCCTAGCTCTGAAAGCAAAGATAAACCAGCTTAATCCGAATGAGTAAAGCGTATTCATATGTGTAGATGATAATCGTAGGTTTGAATAATACTTGAAAGCTTTTATACAAAAACAATGCTTAGTTTAAAAGATCTAAGCATACTATGGCAAGAAGTGTCGGAAAAAAAAACACGTTACACATTTAGTCATAGCCGGAGGTCGTGGGTTCGATTCCCACCCAGGACAAATATTTGTACGATGAACACGATTGTTTATTCTGTGTCTGGGTGTAATTTATCTATAATATTGAGAATTATAGTATAATTATAGCATTTAAAAATATATAAGTATGTTTATCAGCAATCTGATTATCATAGTACAAGCTCTGCCTAGTTTGGGATTAGACTGCCGTGTGTAAGATGTGTGAGGTTTTTATTTAAAAAGTATTAATGAAAAGTTTAGTAACCTTTGTTAAGATAAAACACATTTATATTTAACTTGCTTTTTCCCGCGACTTCGCCTGTTGTATGTCCGCTGTTGCGGTAAAAGTGGCCCAAGTTACTCGCTGATAATGTAGCTTTCCATTGGTGAAGTATTTTTAAAATCGGTTTAGTGGTTTAGGCATAAAAGCGTTACAAACAAATGTCACTTTTACATTTATAATATAAGTATGGAAGTATGAATGTTCTTTTCAAACGAAGTTCTTATTGCGCTCTCTCTGAGTGGATGGGAGCGAGACCGAAAAATTTGTAACAAGACTTTTTTGCGATACTTCTTGCTATAGTACGCTTAGATCTTTTAAACTAAGCAACGGATTTTTATACAGTTTTCACCAATAGAGAGGGTGATTCGAGAGGAAGGTTTATCTGTATTATACATGCATATTATAGTAGAGAAAACCAGGCATTTCAAAGATTTGTCGTAAAAAAACATGTTTTTGCAAATGCTGGCTAAACCTTACGAGATTGATCAAAATAATGTACCACGCAGATATTTATCTTAAAAAAATCTACAAAAGAGTCTAAATTTTATATATCTATCTCCTAAGAATAAACCACAGTAACCAATTTATCTTTTAAATATTACAAAAACAAAATCGTTTATTTACGAAGCTATTTTAAACAATACATTATTATTCCTTATCCAATTAAATACGTTATGCGTTAAATGTTAATTAAAATTGGTCTTTGCAGCTTATCAATAAAATGAAAAATGTAGAAGATATTAGAGGTTCAAAATGCGGGGGCAAAGCGGCCGTTGCCATTGGGCCGTACGACCGTCCCGAGTGGCAACGGCCGGCAGGAACGGAGCGGGCCTATATAGTCATATAGCTTATAACGATATCCTGTAGTATTGTCTTATAAACGTCTAACAAAAAATCAAAGGAACTTCGTTCCAACCGTGTGTACATAGATTTTTTATTTTAAAATATCACAAGCATAGATTTCTGCTAATGCTTGTAAGTATTGTACTACAACATCCTTGACGGTCGGTAAGCGCACGTCTCGCCTTAATTTGTTTAAATCGTTTACTATTATAAGGTTTCATAAATTATAAGAATTTTACAAATGTTAGGTTTAATCCACACGTTAGTGAAAGCAATAGTAATGTGACAATGACCGCCCTGCAGAAAAAGTGCTGTAAAGTTGTTTGGTTTTACTATAGAAAAACCCTGGGTGTTTGGAATTCCGTTGGAATAAAGTTCAGTTGTAGTTGTAAGTTATTTGTATCGTGTTTTGTACGACGAAACTGAGTTAGGAAAATGATTAGGTACATTTCATTTGGGCACGCCGTCATTGCGGCGGTAAGACCCGTTATGGAGGATTGGCTCGAGAGGCGTCACGGGACCCTCTCATACCGATTGACGCAGGTGATCACTGGGAAGGGATGTTTCGGAGATCACCTGTGTCTGATCCGCAAGGAGCCAACGCCTGAGTGCCACCACTGCGATGGCCAGACCGTGGACACGGCTCTCCACACGCAGGCAGAGTGCCCGGCGTGGGTTGAGCAGAGGCGAGACCTCGTGGCGGCCATCGGAGTGGGAGTTCTCTCGCTCGATAGCCTGATTGCGGCTATCGTGCGGAGCGAGAGTGCGTGGAACTCTGGCGTCTCCTTCTGCGAGCAAGTTATGCTCGCGAAGGAGACGGCGGAGCGGGACCGGGAGAGGTTTAGAACTCTCCCGGCCCGCCAGGCCCGGGCACGGGCCAGGCAGCGCAGGCGACTCAGGCGCCGGAGGTCGCAGAACGACCTCCGTCCTCCATAAGCGCAGGCCTGGGGGTGACAGGTGAGGCCATCTGTCACCCTAGCAGAAGCAGGCCGGGGTGGCGGCGAGCGCGTTGCGAAGCGCGCTCGCTTCCAGGGAGCACAGGGAACATGGGGTTCCCACACGGGGCGGGGGTCGTCTACTCGTCTGTAGATGACCCGAGGTATGTCGGGGCACCAGGGCCTTCCTTTCTAGGGTATACCTGGTTCCCCGGCTATTAGTACCCGGCGAAGGCGTGCGGTTTTAGTCGGTTCGAGTCCGACATGCCACCGACAGGTGGTATCCGAGGGGATTTCCGCACGGAAAAAAAAAAAAAAAGGTACATTTCATTTAAAATATACATACTTCTACGCTAGGTTCTCTAATCTCTTGTTTATACACACAGACTCTACAAACTAAAGCTTATTTGAATGTTTAGAGTTGTTTGTGTATATTCAGTGTAACAATAAGCATATTCTGAAACATACTTACGTTACATAGCACAACCCGTGAATAATTTGAAAGTAATAAAATATGGAGTGTTACTACCCCCATTCATTCCGTGGGTGTCCCAGCCGACTAAGGGAGCAACTCTGCAGGATATAAGCACTAAAAAAAAAGAAGGAAAACTAGAAACAAATCCTATACCAACCCGTCTGGCCAGCGTGGTATAGTAGACCGAAACCTCCTTTCTAAATAGAGGCCTATATCCAGGGGTGGACTATTAAATGCAGTTGAAGATGAATAACTATTTAAGCCTGCTTAAATCACTGGGAGATGGGGTTAGGCTCCTGCAATCCCACTCTTTCGGTGAAAAGCAATATTATAATTTCTTAACACTGGTTTTCTGTGAGGCCGTGGAAACTCCATTTGAGCCATATGTGACAAAGCGTAGCCCTCCGTGGTAAACTATAATTTAGTAATAGGAGACCTTCTTCCTCCGAGCCTTTTTTCCAAATCAAGTTCAGGTGAGCTTTATGTCTACTAAAATACGCTTAAAATTGTTTTTTTTACTACGACTACCGTCAAACCTCCACAACCCAAGCAATAGACGATATTGAAGTTCTGTAGAAAGACTGTTTTCGGATTTTTCAGGGCTCCCGTAACGATTTTCACAGATGTTCGTATGGCAACTGAGACGGGCTGAGCCGTGAGCAAAAACTAGTTTTCTCATAAATGACGAAGTTTTCAAGTAACAATTTAAGAAAAAAAAAATTACACTGAGATAAATAGAGATAAAGTCAATTAAGTACCGGATATCAATTATACAAAAAAAAAACAGTGGTACTCCGGGAGTGCCGACAGAAGTGAAAACTGTTTTTTTTTTAGTAAAACAGGTTGTATATACTCGTATATACATTTACATTATGTTCACATTATATATAGTGACGGGCCTGTTGGTCGAGTGGTTAGTGCCCCTGACTGCTAAGCCGGAGGTCGTGGGTTCGATTCCCACCCAGGACAAATATTGTGTGATGAGCATGATCATTTGTTCTGTGTCTGGGTGTAATTTATCTATAATATGTATGTATTTAAAATATTTAAGTATGTTTATCAGCAGTCTGGTCACCATAGCACAGGCTCTGCCTAGTTTGGGATCAGACGGCCGTGTGTGAAATGTGTGAGGTGAGGTATATATAGTTATATTATCTATGTATTTCAACCCAAAGTCAACTCTTGTGTTAACGGAGCCCATATGAAGATACTTATATACAGAGGTGTAGGTGTGAGACATCTCAAAAAATACATTCATTTGTTTGTTGTTCAAAAATGCCTTACGCGCCTAAAGAAGTTTTCCCTTCAAAAAAATACAGAAAGCTAAGACGTAAGTAAAAAGCTAGTACTGAATAAATTAACTGTCGACAAGTAAACAAGATACGAAATAAGCTGACGACAATTCATCAATTATTTATGTATATACATCGCCGCCGGGCTTTGGCGCTTATTATTATGTTAACACTGAAATGTCTTTAATGAAGTAACTCCGTGACTGTGCAAAATATTAAAAGCTTGCACTAAATGTTTCAGGAGCAGTTGAAAAAGCATTTTAGCTATCCGAAACATGAGCTGTTGACTAAATAAAATAAGTGAATAAATTAAATGTAGTATGTGTAAAAAGGTTCCTTGAATTTAGTATATGTTTTATGCAACTCCTGTTTTGTTATATACTAAATCTCCAATCCTTATGGATTTATTATTATTATTAGTCCTAAGGATTGGTACATTTATTCGATTCCTATAATAATTCAAATATCCAAAGCGGCATTGCTAGGCTCGTATCAAATATGGTTAGGTAGAGGGAGTAAAATAGCAGACAGTGGAGGTGAGCGCCGACGCGTCACAAGGAGTACTCCCTAAACCTATACCTGTGTCGCAATTCCCAGCCACTTTCGAAGTCGCTTGTGGTACTTCTATCACGCGATGGACACGGCACCCTCATGGAGAATCCATGGAACGCGAAATAGGTCTATGGCAGAATCGCCCAAACGCACGGCAATTCACCCTATTTGATACAAGATCGCCATAGCATAACGCTCCATGAGCCATGATAGTCTGACAAGTTCTATCTAATTTAATATAATCACACACGTAAATGTTTAAAAATCATTGTCAATAACATAGTTAATTCCACCTACGAGTAAATATTAAAAGGAATTCTATGATATACACTCATTTTTGCTCGCAGATAAATAATGCGATACCCAGTTTTACTAACTGCTTAGGAAATCTTAAGCACTTTTCATGTGAGGATATTCAAAAAAATACTCACCGAAATGACAGCGTAGTCAGCGGCCTGTAGGACTTATGACTGTTTGCATCAGCCATCGGCATCCCCCAGTAGTCGTCCAGGAACAGCTGCCTCAGCGAATTCGTTCCAACAACGTCCCCATTCGTGACAATTGCTGGTATGTCATCATGTACGAAATCACCATTTAAAGCGTTGACATAACTGAGCACTGCTGTGGTCGTCACCATCGTGTATATAGCAAAATCGCTGCAGTACGTTCTAGGCTGAGGGTCCTCCCGAACAGTGGTGAGCAATCGCCTCTTCATTTTTGGTGCTTTTAATTTAAGCGTTACATTTCTACATCTGCACATTTGTTCCTGAAACAAAAGAAAAATTGGTCAATGGATGGATTTTCGCAGCTAAGTCTTCAGTAGACACTAAACCATGCATGCGAATTAGAGCCGAATTAATGCAAATACAGTCGTAAACTTAAATCATACACAAACTAGTATAATTTATAGGGTAACTCTGTTTCTCCTTCTGCGAGCAAGTTATGCTCGCGAAGGAGACGGCGGAGCGGGACCGGGAGAGGTTTAGGACTCTCCCGGCCCGCCAGGCCTGGGAACGGGCCAGGTACCGCAGGCGACTTAGGCGCCGGAGGTCGCAGAACGACCTCCGTCCTCCATAAGCGCAGGCCTGGGGATGACAGGTGAGGCCATCTGTCACTTCCAGGGAGCAGAGGGAACATGGGGTTCCCACACGGGGGGGGTCGTCTACCTGTTGTTGTAGATGGCCCGAGGTATGTCGGGGCACCAGGGACTTCCTTTCTAGGGTATACCTGGTTCCCCGGCTATTAGTACCCGAGACGGCGTGCGGTTTTAGTCGGTTCGGGTCCGACATGCCACCGATAGGTGGTATCCGAGGGGATTTCCGCACGGAAAAAAAAAAAAAGGGTAACTCTGTTATCAACCAGTCCACTGCTGGACATAGGTCTCTCCTTAGAAAGGAGGTTTTGGCCTACTATATCACGCTGGCCAGACAGGTTGGTATAGGGTTTGTTTCAAGTTTTCCTTCTCTTTGCAGTGCTGTTGTCCTGCGTAGTTTGCTCCCTTAGTCGGCTCTTACGACACCTACGGGATGAATAGGGGTTGTAACATTCCGTATTCTGTGACTCGTATGTGACTCTGTTATACAGACAGAGAATTATTTGTTTTTGAATTTTAATATATTCAAGATTGGAATATAAATAAAAAAAAACATATGTAATATGTACAAATAATATAATATTCGTATGAATCGTATGAAACTATATGCAATATTTTAAAATATCATTATATCGTTTTCATACACATGCATAAGTATTACGTTGCGAGGAAGTTGGTATTAAACAAGAGGCCGTCCGTAAAAGAAACCAGCTAAAAAGCCTCTTGTAAAGTTATACATCGCGATGTCCCCAAATAAAATTGTACCTTATGACGTTATATATTAAGCACTTTTAATTTTCATATGTTGTATCCTTAAGTTGTGTCATTTCGCTTTTCAAATATTAGTATCAGTCTCATCAGTATTTAAGCTTTGTTAATACTAAAAAAGATATTTAGCAAAGTATTCAAATAACAATTGAGCTTAGATAAAAATCAAGTAATCCTACGTAAATTCAAACTGTTGAACGGAACAATTCTAAGAAAGTATTCGCCCATGTACTTGATTTACCGTATCTACTCGTATTAAGGGAAAGACATTGTGTTTTTGTGTTCTTTACGAGTGGCACTCATTACGTCACACTTGGATTACTGTCCAAACTCAAAGGTTTTGTACTTTTCAGTATTTCTATATCGGCCACGATGAGGGGCGACGTTGCTTTGAGATCACGTATGGTTTTTTATTGTAAGCGGAATGTAGTGTTAGGTTTTTGTACAGAAAGATTAAATTTTGAAGCAGATATTTTACTCCATTACATCTGGGTTTCTTCCAAATTTTTGTAAACCAGCTTTTGCCTGAGGCTCCACTGGTGGGTATATCGGTGATTGGTGTAAATAGTAACCTATATCTGTCCTTCCTTTTCAAAGTATCTCCTTGCCAAATTTTATACAAATCGGTTTAGGGGTTTAGCAGTGTAAGCGTGACAGACACACAAAGTTACTTTCACATTTATTATATTAGTAGAATTTTAAGGTTTTGTAAAATTGCCCATTTTTTGTTTAATATAGACACGAGACGTTCACTGGTATTTATTCATAAAAAATCTATTTCACAAATGCGGACAAAAATATTGAGGTACACTGACTTCTTACCTGTGGTGTGACTAGAACAAGTTAAGGAATTAATACATGAAAGAGTAGAAGGACTAGTTAGAGACGTGATACGAAGAGATAAGCGTAATTTGGTGGAAAGAGACAATAGTGGAGACCATATTATTATAAGTATCAACAAGAAAAAGAGAAAATAGGTAAGAAAAAGCCTTTTAAATTTACACATAATAACGCTAGTTAGTTATATATAAGTATTAAATGATCATACGCCAAACCACTGCGTGGGTTTGCTGTAAAAATAAAATCAAATATTCATGACAAATTTTATTACAAGTACCCCAAGAATGTTATCAGAAATAAAACCAGCGAATACCATTCGTCTCCCGGCATGGTTTCAACGGTAATCTAAATAACTATTTTTCAATATAGCCTCCGCAATATTGCCGAGTTATGAATTTTCGTGTGGCCTACTCTGAGAGGGACGTGCCCAAAATATGATATTAAAGGGAAAAAATCCGACCGCAGAATTCGGATAGTACTAAATATAAATAATTCGAGTTCCGACGGATGTGGTGAAATATTTTACTGCTTTCTTTGTTATTGTATAAGTAAAATAATATGTCATTGTGCCGATGTCAGTTTTTCTATTCAAATTTCTTTGTCAAAATAAATACACAAAGTCTAGTAGGATTGACGTCCTCATAAAACACTAGAAACTAAGTTAGATGTAGCCAAATTATACAAACGAATATGGCCTTTATTGTTTATAAATTTCGGAAATGTAATTGTTTGCGTTCAAAGAAAAACGGTGCCTGTAATCTGATGCTTCATAAGTTAAACATGATTATTGTTGGTTGGTAATGTTTGTAAGTAAAAGAGAGAAAGACAGAAAGAGGGAGAGAGTGAGAGCATCATCTACATTGCTATCAATTTCCTAATTATATTTGAGGTTAACATTGCAAAGAGTTTTGAATAGTTTTCTTTATAGTCGGCCGAATGCTTGAGAATAAAACTATGTTCAGACGGGACAGAAAAACAATTAGTTTTTCTTTGGTATAAGGAGGCAAACGAGCAGACTGGTCACCTGATGGTAAGCGACTACCACCGCTCATGGACACCTGCAACTCAAAAGTCACAAGTGCATTGCCGCCCTTGGAGTCCCTTTCGCTCGAGTCAGCGGGAGAGGGGATTTGGGCTCCGGTAACCTCACTCACTCGGTGAAAGGCCACGAAAGAATTGCTTAACACCGATTTTCTGTGAGGCCATAATCCCATTCGTGCCGAAGCATGGCTCTCCCACAAAAGTAGGTAATGCAAGTTTTAAATGGGTAATCGGAATTGAGTCCGCTTCTGAGTGAGCTTCTGAGTGAACTTCATAAATTACTAAAATGTAATAACGCTCTACCAATATTACCCGCTAACACTCACCACAGACGAGCATATTCTTAGTTTAATAGTTCACAAGACTACAAACAGCTGTACTATATTAGAATCCAGGCCACACATTTCATCCACCCCGCTCATATTACAGTTTAATAATTACAAGAGGCTAATTCACAGGTTGCTTTTACTGAATTTATAGCGCTTTAGAAGTGTATTAGGTTCATAAAATTAATGTACACTCCAGTTGACGAAGTGCGCTCATAACTTTGTTCTGTGTTGGAAGAAAAATTACGTAAATTGACGACACTGAGCGATGAAATACATCGTTTTTATAAAGATGCTTAAGTTATTTTAACAGTTTTTATGGTACAAAATGCAAATAGTGATATAAATTTATTTATAAAATATCAACCTTACTCTCAAGTTAAGATGGTAAGTGACTAATTGAGTGTTTAATTACTTACACGATCTTAACCAAACAGGATGTTTTGACCTAACTTACCAGTAAAAATACTTGAATTTTGTTACATGCTTTAATTTTGTCACTACAACATCATCACACATCATCAACAACCTATTTAATAGTCCACTGCTGGCCATAAGCCTCTCCTTAGAAAGGAGGTTTTGACCTACTATTTTGGTCACTACAACATTAAGTGTAATAAGAGTGATAGACAATGGTCTATAAAATTGTTGCCAAGAAGATTTTTCTTAATATTTTAACTAAAATTAACCTTTTTCATTTTAAGTTAATTTAACCAGTGGGTAATTCTCCCACGATAAGCTTTTGTGAATATAGATATGTACAAAATCTACAGCAATGCCTCCAAACACCAAGTCCCTTAATATACAATTCAATGCCACACTGAAACATGACTGCCAGGCGTCATGTTTGCGCGCAAAGCTCTTTAAATTTAAATATTAATAGCTTTATCTGAACGTACGAATATGCGAATAATTTAAAAAATATATATTCCCATTGCTACACAGCACACATATGTATATACACGTCGTAGATCCCTGACAGCCACAAATCAAATGCAAATGCATGGACCCGGAAGAAATACGGATAAAACATTTTTTTACATTAAAATTAACAATTCGACCAAATATCCTTCCAGGTAGAAAATGAATAAAGTTGATACGATGGTAAAGTATTTATCCATGGTAAAAAATACGTATGATTACAACTGTATAACCTTAATAATTATGTGAGTATGAATTATTACAGGACTTATTTTGATGTTCTGATACAGATTACTTTTTTTTATGTTAGAGGGGGCAGACGAGCAGACGGGTCAACTGATGGTAAGTGACTATCGCCGCCCATGAACGTCTGCAACTCAGGAGTCACAAACGCGTTTCCGGCCTTTTAGGAAGGAGTACGCTCTTTTCTTGAAGGTTTGAAGGTCGTATCGGTCCGGAAATACCGCAGACGATAACCCGTTCCACAGATTGGGTGTGCGGGGCAAAAAGTGTCTCGAAAAGCGCACAGTAGTGGAGCGCCCACTATCCTTTTATATTAATCCTTAATTACTTTTATGTTAATAATGATTATCGTCCGACTTATCCAAAATTAGTCATAGCCTGTACTACTTTACCCAGACTGTTGATAAACATACAATCGCATAATTGTTTGTCCTAGATGGCAATTACATAACCTCTAGTTTAGCAGTTACCATATACCCAGTT